TATACAAAGAATAAATAAATAAATTTAAGAACAAAAAAAAGCAAGAGAACCCAAAAAAAATTACTTGATTGATGTTATTTATATTTTTTTTTTTGATGAGAATATAAGAAAGAAAAAAAAAAAAAAAAAAAAAAAAAGAAAGAAAAAAAAAGCATCCGTCCATGTCCGAAAACCTTGTAAAGAAGTAGGCTAAAGTTTTGGAAGGAAGAATCAACGAGGACGTAAGCTTATCAAGAAATATTTTCAATGAATTATAAATAATAATAATATTGATTATAATAATGATAATGATAAAATTAATTTTTGTATGATGATGTGAAGAATAATGCTGATCTCGGAGGATGTTATAACATTCTCCTCGATCTGCATAATTATTAGACTGCAAAACAGTCGGGTTTTTTTCCCCAAATTGGTTTAGAGAAGGGTCGGAGCAGCGTAAGAGCAAGCGCGTGAGCCTCAAATGCCCGAATAAGTAGGGCAGGTGAGGCGAGAGGAAAAAAAACCGACTTTCCGTTTTCCATATAATGAGTTCGTTCTGACCAGGGGGTTCAAAAATGTCGTCGAGCTGTCAAAAATCTATTCACAACTCCGTCCTCTTTGTAAATTTGATACGTCCGGTGATTGATTTCGCGAGAGAATAGCGGAAGCAGTCTTAAGCGCTGTTTCCGTGTACAATGTAGACTAGTGTTTTCTTAAAGATCAAAAATGAGTGGATGGAAGTGGCAGTACGCCGACAAAGCCTGTTCCCGCTTCTCGAAGAGGAAGAAAGCTGAGCTGAGCGCGGCAGATAATTGTAGAATGTGCAGCTGTTGTTTCAAAACACAGTTCGTCAATTTTATGACTGGATGGATAAGCTCTGAAAATATGTTTGTTGCCCCTACTAGTACTAGAAAAAGGTGAAACGTTACCAAAATTGGCCGACGTTCTAATTAACGAACTTCTCGTTGTCGTAGACGAAGCAGAATCTTTCTTCACAAAGGTGGAAAGTGCGCCGCGATTCTTTCGCAACTGAACACCCCAACGGTCAATGAATTCATCACGGTAGGGAAAATGACTTGTTGAAAATGACTTGTTGCAAACATGACTTGACAGTTTCCTAAGAGCTTGCATCAAAATTTAGCCAATGAGAATTGCCCATGGCTGGGAGAAGCGGGCAATTCGAACGAATATATCTTATTAAAAACCGACAATCCGTTTTTTTAGTGTCTCTCCCCAGTCTGGCTCTCCGTTTTCAGCTTTTGTTTAACTGTTCGTGCGTACAGTGTACTTGAATACGCAAAATACGGACTGTTTTGCAGTCTGCATAATTATTCACATCAGGTAGTTTTCAACCCGAGCCATTTTCCGGTTATGCGCTTAGTTTTGAGAAGATTTGGACGGTAACATGTGGACCTTTATCCTGTGTTTAACTTGTACGGCCATGTATCAAGCAGCAGGCGAAACTGGTAAGAACGTTCAAACTTGTCTACTACGTTTGACACTCTTTAAAACTAAACCTTAATTCCCTCTGGTATCAAGTCAGCAAGGCAAAACAAACACAGCAGATGGCCCACGCTTAAGTTTTCATCTTCAGCAATTGAATTTTACAGCTGAATTCAAAATTCTAAAAATCTTCTTTTAGAATTCACGTCATCGGAAAACGTTTTTCACTCGTCTTTTAGCTATCGAACTCAACTTTGCTCGCTGCAGCGTTCCTGGATCCATCGAACATCGGAAGCCAAAAATTATACGCTGAAAAATGGTTGCAGTTTTCAAATATTCTTAAACAGTGTCAAAGTAGCGCTAAATGTCGCTGCTTAAACCCTGCCGTTTTATTCTTGTTTTCACCCAATATCGCGAAACTATTGATGTAGTCGCTATTCTTTACTGCAGAAACCGTGCAGGAAGGTTGCAGATTATGTAAAACATAGCTCGGGCGCTATAATAATATGTGCAAGTTATAAAATCAACGAGAAATAGCGAGAAATGCAGACTGTTATAAAAGCGAGAACTTACCCCTATTAGAAAATAGTTTTTCGCCTGGCAGACAGCGCGAAATTATCGTCGTGTATAGTATAGGCCATAACGTGGTTTGTACAGCTTGAAATAAACGATCGCTTTGGTTTTGACTGTTTTGATCAGGCGAGACAAAGTTTATCTTGCTATCAATCTCTCTAATGAAAGAATGTTATTACCCTGCCCGCCCATGAAAAAATCAACCAGTTGATGAACATTCGCCAATGTGATTATTTCTAGTCTGATGTTTGAAAAAGGTAGATTTTTACGCAGGCAAAGAAACCGGATAGAGAGAACATTCCGTGATACAGACAGCCCGGTGAAATGTGAGCCTTGCATTGCTTGTTGTTCGGCGCACATAATAGACCTTTTTACCGATATGGCGGCCATATTGAATTAATTCGATTTAAGGTGTATTATAGGATGCCCAGGGGGCATGAGCACATTTCGTTTGTATTTTTGAGCGCTTTTCGGGACATTTTTTCTTAAAGTTTTCTTAGAATAAGATTGCAATGAGAAAAAAGATCCTTGTGCCGTGTTTGGATTTAATAATGATCGCCTTTTTCCCTAGAAATATACAGTGAAAGACCATATTTCAAATACTAAACTAGAAAAAGGTGATCATTATTACATCCAAACACGGCACAAGGATCTTTTTTCCCATTACAATCTTATTCTAAGAAAACCCTAAGAAAAAATACCCCGAAAAACGCTCGAAAATACAAACGAAATGTGCTCATGCCCCCCTGGGCATCCTAGAATACTCCTTAACTCGAATTAATTCAATATGGCCTCCGTATCGGTAAAAAGGTCTATTTGTTCAATTGTCTAGCTGCGGAGTCTTTGTTTGCTCCTGTTCGAGTGCTCATATTACGAGAAGCACGAAAGCTCCTGATGCTCGACTACAGGGTCCAGAGGAGATGTGTTTGTCGTTAGAATATCAAAACCCGTCGAAAACCTCTGAAAAAATGTGTTATTTTGATCGCGTTACATTTTCGTTACACATTCTACATACCGCAAACCAAGAGACTGAGGTCATGCCTCGGTCGCCCTTCGGGCGACGTGGCGTGCGCCAGCGAGGATATGGCTTGCGGTTATTGTTTCAAAATGGCGAACAACAAAGTCGATCTGGGTCAGAAAAGAAGCGAAGAAGTTCATAAAGATCCCATTGGGTTAATTAATCGTGCTAAGCGACAGGTATAGACATTTTTTAAGGTGAGACTTTAAATAAGTAATTCATTTATTCACACGAAACTCCTCTGGACCCTGTGGCTCGACTAGAAGAAAGATTTGTAACAGCGTGTGATTAATATTTGCATACCATGTACAACAATAAACTGTTTACTCTTCGTTCCCTGCAGCCAGCGAAACATACAAGGAATTGTTAAGCAACAGATGTATATATACGGTTTCGTTTACCCCCTCGAAGAAATGGAATGAACTGAATGCGGAAGATGCGACGATAATGATAAAACTAAAGGAAAAAAAACTTGCTGGTTAACAGGTTTCGCATTTTGATCGCGCGACCTCATTCACCTCAATCCTTTGCTTATCACGCTGGTATCGGGTGTCTGTAAAAGGAGGACTGGATACC